AAACAAGTCAGCAACTTTTTTGTCTGATAGGTTAAACACATCAACATAAACTAAGAATTTGAGCTTCCTTTCTCATTATCCACTAAATTCACCAAAATTAGTCAATGCTCTAAGTTTTCAACTCCTTGCTTCAATCCCACAAAATAAACAGAAAATTTTTAAAACCATGACAAAGAATCGTTACAAAAACCCATTTAGTAATTTATCAAAGCCAATAAATTGAGAGCATAGAAATTTCTAAAAGAAAAGGTACCTGAGAAGATGAGAGTTTTGGGTATTTACATAAAGCAGCAGAGAGTTTCTGATCTTTGCTTCTTAGACTCTCACTCGTCATCAAAGCCTCCTTCGGAACTGTCAAAATTAACTCGCCTTTCATAACATCTCGTACCGCCGCTAATCCTCTCCTGCATCATAGTATTTACATTCATATAATTACCCACAAACGTGTGCATACTTACAGATGTATACAAATCGTGATATGTTTATTACCCGCCGGCGTCAGGGAAATGAGAGACGGATAGAGAATGATCCAGGCAAGAAGAAGGTGGACGGATGGAAACTTTCGATTTCTTAATAGGAGAGTCTGATACTCCGAGAGCAGCCGCCCATTGTAGGAAGGTTTCGAGGTCTGATTCGTCTTGCGCTTCCATCTCCAATTCCCTTTAGAACGTAGGAGGATGTTTGGCTAAGCTTAAAAGGTTAAAAAGTATGTTTGTAATAGAAATAAATGGCTTATTTTGATAGTACAATAAAATTATAATAAAAATAGGACTTCCACCAAAGGAAAGAAAGAAAAAGTTGGTAAGTTTGATGGATATTATCGAGAAAAGAATCTATTTTAAACAGTGATAGGATGAGAAACATGTGGTTAAAAAGTAAGAAAAAGTTATTGATGTGATGGAAAATATTATTTTATTGAAAAATGTGTGATTAAAAATGAGTTTTGAAAGAATTTATTTTGAAATAATGTATATCAAACAAATATATCTAAAAAATCAGTCAAATTTAACCATTGTTTGACAACCATTAAAAAAATTCAAACTCATTTTCAATCACACATTCTCACATAAATTCAAAATTTTTTCTCACTTTGTAATCATACATTTCTCCAAACATCATTATTCAAAAACTCATTTTTCCCAAAAGAAAAAAAAAATCGTTTTAATGATTGTCAAACAAGATTTTAGAGTGTGTTTGGTAGGGATTTTTGGGGGAAGAATTGATTTTTGAATAGTGATATGATGGGAAATGTGTGGTTGAAAAAGAAGAAAAAAGTATTGATGTGGTGGAAAATATTATTTTATTGAAGAATGTGTAGTTGAAAATGAGAATTGATTTACTGTAAAAAATGAGAATTTGTACCAAACAGACTCTTAATAATGAACTTCAATTTGATTTTGCTAAAAATAAAGTTCTTAGTAAATTTTGATTTAATAAAAATTTTTGAAATACGTTATCAATAAGTTGATAAAAATATAAAACCGTGTTGTTTAATTAATTACTAATTTTAACATACATATTATTAACTTTTTTAACTAATTATAAAAAATGGGCTGTTCATAGGTAGTTTTTCTAAGAAAAATTACTAAAATGTAGAAGTTATGTCAATGAGAGTAATGTACATTCTATCCTTGTTTGATGGAGATTAAAAACGAAATTTTTAGTAACTTTTGATAAAATTTAATAAAATATATAATCGAAAATTGTGAGTTTCATGAAATATGTAATTTGTTAGGTCTTCTATTTGTAATTGGTTATTCCTTGATAAAATCTAGGTTATTTGAGTTATAAATAAAGTCAAAGAGATGAGGGTTGGTGGTATAGATCATTTAGGAGTCCTAAAGTTCGAGTATAGAACAAGGAATTTAAGTTTCCAGAATGATGCTATCTCAACGACAAGATCATGCTCGAGAGCCCAAAACAATGATGATGATGCTAGCCTAATGCCAACCTTTCACTCGAGCAACATCAGGGGAGCATCAGCAAAACCCTAATTTTCCAAGAAACTCTAATTCGCGATTTTAAATACTTTTAACAATCCTATACAACCTCAAACACTATCCATTATAAATATGTATGCCTTACTTTGTCCAAAGGTGTGTTGAATTATTATTTTTCTTTAGAGATCTCATTGTTGAAGATCACAAACACATTCCATCAATTCTATTCGTTCAACCCCAAAATTATTGTTCATATAGTTTATCCTAAGCATTGTTCCAACATTGGTTGAGCCTTGAATTAAGTTAAGAAAACATAATTTGAAGATCATATCTATATTCAAATATTTCTTACCCTAGCCATAGATCAAAACACAAATAAAATCGTTGATTAAACACCAAACCACCCACTTTCAAAGTATCCATTAGAGATCTGAAAATCCAGGAAGGTGATCGGAGTTCCGATGGGAAGAGAACAAGGTCGGTCTCGATTATCCACAGGAAATAGACGACTCCAGAGATTCTGGAGCACGCAATGCAAAGAAGTCATTGGTCATTACAGGAAGAATGTCAGAGAGTGCTAAGAGTTAGTCAAGTCTGACCGTAGTACAAGTCATATCGTTTATAGTGGATTTTACTGACAATGTGCCCAAAGGTTTTTAATCACGTTGGAAGGGTTTTCCTCTATGATCATATTTGATGTTGATATTTATTTATTGCTTTTGGTTTATTGTGATTGTTTAAACATATGATATAACAGAATTAATTCATTAATCATCTAGAAACAATAAAAGTAAATTGTTGCTTATTATTGTGATTAATTTCACACGTGAATCTAAATATTTCCCCATCAAGAGGTATTAGAACGGTACCTGTTATTTCATAATTAAAATTAATTATTATTTTTAACTTAGAAGCTTTGTAATGCCTTTTTAAATATTTATAATTTTTTAAAATTTTAAATTACTAAAAGTTAAAATATTTAAATTACTAAAGGGAAAATTACAACTACGGAACCAAACATTTCACTTTTTTGCAAAGCTGATCCAAACTTTCAATTTGTGATGGTCACGGCACAAAACATTTCAAAAACTAGCACTTGAAGTCCAATGGATAATTTCTGTTAATTTGACAATTGGTAGACTCAAAAAATTAAATCTAACCAATTTAAAGAGGATAAAATGATAAT